ACTAGGAGATATATGATTTTACATATTTTTTAATAAAAATATTAATTAGATTGCTTGGTTCATATAAAGGCACATGAGTACAGGAAGATAGCTGTGCTGTTACTAGCTCCTCTAAAGAGCACAGAGTCAAGAGTTATCTACATATAACGAAGCAAGGTAAACACTGTGTATTGATCCTTGCTTTGTTGTAGATGGGGTTTTGTTACTGTGCACTGTCACCCCAGCAAAAACTGCGGAGATTACCGGCATAAACCAGTATCCATGGGATTCAGCAGCAACTCCTCTGCTAAGTCTAGTGCCAAGTTATAAGATTGTTTGTCCTCTGTGGCTCTTGCTTCAGATGGAGGATGGGAACTTCTCCCTCCTCTTCACCGCAGTCATCTTGTGGTACCAGATGAGAAAGCTCACATTGTACTAGTTCTGTGAACAAAAGGAACAGTTCTTTTCTGTAGCGCTGACAACCCAATACCATTCACAAGTACTGCCAATTTAAATTAGTAATGTGGAAAAGGTACAAGAAGTTTAGGCAGCTTAACTAAATTGGTGTGCTTATTGAAAAGGCCTCTGGTACCCTGTATTTGTATGCAGCCAGCAGAGCTGCTAAGCCAGAACAATCGATCACCAGGAACACAAATGTGGACCAGAAATGTTTCATTCAATTAAGCATTCAGGAAGATTTTTGTCCTCCACCTCAGCATTCGAACAGCAAATGTACCCAGGTGTTATTTTTGAGATAGAATTGTAATTTGAATAAGGACAAGCCAATAAGATCATTACCAGAAAGGTCACAAACATCCTTCAAAACAGTGCAAATTGACCTATTTTCTAGTAACAACAGACTTGAAGGTATGATTTTTTGACACTTTACATGCGGTTATTTTTGTGTCCCAGTGTTCCAATATAATTATCATTATATTATACAAAATGTCCTGGATTTGATACACGAACATTTCCTTCACAAGACCAAAATCCTCTTTTGTTACAATTCATTAGGTTTAAAAAACCTATATATGACACTCCACTAGAATTTTCTCACTTCTGGAAGCTTCTTTCACATTATGTGAATAAGCGTTATAAACTGTCACCTGGTTGATAAAAGCAGCTCTGTTACCATATGCAGAGACTATAACAGTTAAGGTGCCCTGAATAAATGAGGCACAAGGACACCTTTTATCAAAAGCACACTTTTGTCCTTGGCTAGTCAAGGTGTTTGACTGTTGTACCATGGGTACAATGACGTAATGGGTAACACAGGAAGGAACTAATTTACTCAATACAGTAAAATCAGTTATTCGTAGAAGCATGATTATAAGGAGACATGTTTGCTTCTATTGCTCTGCACACAATTCCAGCTATTTAAAACAGTTGTAGAAATTACTATTATTATTATTAAGACATTAATGCCATGTATCTTGCACTGTTGCTGGATGCCCAACACTACAGAGAACCAGGTCCCCTTAGGATACACACAGACTTCATGGCACAAACTCCCCCACAAAATTAGGTCTAAGCAGATTAATTTGCATACTGCAAGAAGTCTAAATGCAATTTCATGGTGCTCCCTGTTGGCTTATTCACTGTGTTCCTCTCTGCTATCGCAGCACAGACTGATTCTGTACAAATTACAGTGGACTTTCTTACACTGCACTGAGCCCTTCAGGCTCATTTATAAGTTTGCAGTTCCAGGGAGAGAACAGAAAATTAACTCCCAAGTGAGGGAACTGTACCCTTCTCTTGTTCTACAAGAGTCCGAGAGCATAGTTTTACAGGCATGCAAATTGTAATGAGGTCCCATCCATCTCCATTACCCTCCTCCTCACTGCCTAACTCTTTCCTGAAGACATAATGCCCCCAGAAGCTGGGCCTGCTGGGACCTACATTCTTGATGAGTCCTCTGTCTTTGTTCTGATTAATGTTGGGTAGCCATCCAATCCTGGTGCAGATTGTTCCTGTGTGCATGTTTACATAAGCAGACCTGCTCCAAACAGCTTGGAATCAAAAGCAACAAGCAAATGTGGTAAAACCCCCAGCGCTGTGTTCAGCAGAGCTATAGCTGAACAAGGAGCAAAGAACCACAGTCTGTGATCTCAAATGGCTCTGTTGCTAGTTACACGAGGACAGAAACCACACCACCAATACAACCAATGGCATCTGAAAACTCAAAGATGCTCTCACTGAATTTGAGCACTGCTTTTCTAACAAGCAGAGATGATATCAGCCTAAGTTTATTCCAGCTGAATTAATAGCAATTACCTAAATGAACAATTTGTTTTCTGGACAAGCTGCCTGCAAACAATTTTGGAGGGAAAAATTATCCAAGATCAGAAAGATCAAGTGAGCTTTTAGAGCAACATTACTGAGTTGTTATGTAATATACTTAATCATATGGCTTGTGTTTTGGACATCTTTTTAGATTATGCGTGTGAACAAAGTATATTTCAGACTCCTAAAATATCAACCTCCAGACACCGATAACCAATTCCTTGTACTGAATATCCCCCCTCTTGTTAAATAACAGGTCAGAAATGTGAGAGGTCTGTGACATGCTTCTAGCTTTGATATATAAATCATCAAACAAGAAGAAGGACTAGTTCAGTTTCAATGTAGACTAGACATACTGAGTTTTACAAAATTACAGAGTGGTTGAAGCTGGAAGCAAGCTCTGGACATTATCTAGTCCAAACCCCCTGCTAAAGCAAGTTCACCTAGAGCAGATTGCATAGCATCACATGCAGGTGGATGAAGTCAGCTCTCCTAAAATCCAGGGCTGTAATTCAACTTATTACCTTGCTTCCTCCATGCAGGATCCTAAACTCCACCACCTCACGGTCACTCCACCCAAGGCTGCCCCCAACGTTCACATCCCCAACCAAACTTTGCTAGTACAGGGTCCAGCAGCACACCTCTCCTTACTGACTCCTTCATCAACTGTGTCAAAAAGTCAATGTAGGAACCTCCTGGACTGCGTGTGCCCAGCTGTGTTGTTCTTCTGGCACATTATCAGGGTAGTTGAAGCCCTGCATAAAAACCAGGGCCTGTGATCATAAGGTTGCTTTCAGCTGCATCATTGACTTCCTGATCAGGTAGGTGGCCTGTAGTAACAGGCCCACAACAGTGCCACCTGTGCTAGTCTGCCCCTTAATTCTTACCCATAAGTTCTGGACTTCATCCACCCCTAGGCAAATCTTGACATACTACAGTTGCTGTCTCACCTGAAGAGCAACTCCACCAACTTGCCTTCCCGGCCTATCTTTGCTAAAAACTATGTATCCATCACAGCATTCCAGTCATGAAGGCTATGCCTGCAGCTCTCTAATTCTTCCTGTTTATTTCCCGTAACGTCCACATTTTGGTCCATGTTTCATTCTGTTCTTGCCAACACTATATCAGCTCTAGATAAGTTTTGATCACCAACTAATTCCCATGTTGACTTTGAATTTGTAATTCAACGTGCATCAATACTTTGTTGGTGGACCAAAGCTTATGTTGTCACAAACAAGATTTAGCATCTCTTTAGCAGGGACTTTGATTATTTTTCCCCCCTCAGTTAATGTTTTTAGGGGACTGAATGAATGGACTTCCCACCACAGGTGGCATTCAGTTAATAGTGTTTATTGAGCTATTTCAAACAAAAACAACCAAACCCAGCCCTCAAGACTCCTAAATGAGAGGTGAAACACAACCCACTGCATCTTCACTCTGTGCTTTCATTCTTCAGAAACATTCACACAACCATATCTACATTTTTCTTCAGTCCATGCTAAAAAACTTAAATCAAATTTGGGGTAGCTTTCCAGCTTCAAATTAAAATTGGAATTACACCCCTGTATGTGATGGCTATAAACTGTTTTTCAGACATCTCATGGTGCTTCCTCAAGCTATCATTCTCTATGTAGGTTTGTTTAATTATTTTAACTCTGTTATATCTAGTTTTTAATTACAACTAATGACATATTGTTTAAATAGGATTTTCTTTTACCCCAGTGATGCTACAACAATAACACTAAAGCATGCACACAGCAATCTGAGTCTGTCCTTGTATTCTAGATCAAGTCTTTCACACCATTCCCTGTACAAACTCATCTTTTCCTAAAACCCTTTAGCTCAGTGATTGTTTTCATTTACAGGTTGGCTCTGCAGTGTGCTAGACTATGGATATGAACAGCAAACAGTGACTCTACCTCCAGAGCTGTACTTTAAGACAAAAACCAAGTATTACACAGGACCAGCTCAGATTCTTAGAAGAAAGGCATCATAACAAAACCATAATCAAATCAAGCTCCTGCCGACTAAAATAGTTAATATTTGCAAGACTACTTATATTGTGTGATGTATCTGATGATACATGGGGCATGAACTAAAATATCTTAAAAGAACTGTGTCTGTGTGTTTTCTGTTTCCTTGATTGCCTCTTGGCTTCATGACATAAGTAAAGAATTATATTATCAAGAGTTTCAGTGTGGCCAATGCAAATTACCCTTCTGAACCAAACACACCCTGCCACCTGAAAAGATTAAGGAATACCAATGATTTTGATTTTAGTAACCAGCAGTGGGATTTGCAAACCATTCACCGCCAGCCAAAGTTTGCTCTATTGACATCAACAGTAAAACTCTAATTCCAAAAAGACTGGAAAGAATCCAGTTCTGAAACACCCTACCCTCAAAGCCTTTATTTTAAATTACTTCAAAACATGCAATTTATAGGCCCTACCATGAGAAATTCTGCCAGAGTAGAATGAATGGCAGCTGGGAGTATAAGCAAACAGATGATCCATATGATATTCTTACTTGGAGCTTTGAAATCTGACAACTGAAAATAATTTACTTGGCAGCAAAAACAAATCTTCTCCACCCCCTTTTCAGTACATGAAATATTCATCTCTAATTTACTTTTCCACAAGAAAATGGCAACAACATTTTGCACTACTAAGTTTTGTGCAAGACCTTCTTAAGCAGTCTGACTTGTGCTCAAATCTCAGCGCAATAAAGACATATATAAACTATGTAAAAGTCCAACAGATTAAAACTAAAGGCATTTACATTGCAGTCTATAACTACTTCAAAGATTCCAATTAGAAATTACAAGGGTCCTTTTCTCTCTGTGCTCACACAAAATATTGGGAAGATATTAAAAAACCTTCTTAAGGTAGACTCGGCATGAATGAAAACAGAAAATGGTGAAATGGGAATAATTCACAGTTAAACTGAGAAGCCACAATGAAAGGACAGATCACTTACACAGAGGATTAAAGATCATTGTTCTTAAAGCAAAAACCAAAGGGAATTGAGAAAATGCATGAGTTAAGCCAAAAACTTGTCATATCCTGCTGAACAAGATCAAAGACGAGCTCAGGTTAACAGCATATGGATTAGTGAGAAATGGTACAAATAACCAAACTTTATATATCCCCAAACCTTCTGACTAGGCACCTGGTAGCACAGCACAGAGCAGGAATGGTGAGGTGAGCTACCGGGGTAAGAAAGAGGCAAGACTGAGGACAGCACCTCAAATCAATTTAGACAGCAGGCTATCAGTAGCAACCACAGAAAGATAACTGAGCTTTGCAGAGAGGAGGGGGGGTGCTGATTCTGCTCAAGTGATCAAGCACAGTTTCACTGAATCTCCACTTTGTAAAAATGCAACAATTTAATAAGAATTAAGCAGCCCTGTAACTCATAGTGTGGTGAAGCAGTTTGAGATAAGAGGTGGCTCTCCATATTCTGTTAGTTGAAGACAGGGTTTTTGTTTAGCATTTCTGAGAAACAGCAACAACAAAACTCAAACAGTATAATAAACCTATTGAGTTTTATAAACTGGTTGTTTGGAGGAAGCTCCACCAGATGTGAAAATCATGGCTACTGCAGAGGAAGACTGTAGACTGAGGAGACCAGAAAGAACTTGGCAGTCTGAGGAACATGGTGTAGAGTTTAATAGGACCAAGCTACAGGAGTACCTTGAGATCTTCCTTCTTCTTTGACTCATGGTAATTGACACACTGTAAGGTCTTACATCAAATCAGGTGAGAACAGATGAAATAATGGGAGTAAAAAAAGATCCAGCAATAAAACTTTAGTTTGGAAGAAAAAACAGAGATACAGCACCTCAATAGCAGTAAAAAAGGTCACCCTGTTACTTATTTGTACAATTAGTTTCCTTTAACTAACACATATGATAAAACACTGTTGCAGAGGAGCCACAGCAGTTCAAACCATCATTTCCCAGCTCAGACCAAGAGGGTAGATGAGACCTAGCTCAGATCAGTGAGATTTCTCAGTCTTAACATGACAAAAGTGGGAATCAGACCACATTGCTATTACATCTGCAGCCCTATGAAGAAAAAACTATCTACAGTTAAAGTACACAAACCTGGGGTGCTATTCCTACTACAAACCGATACAAAAATACTGATCTGGCAACATCTTTTTGCATAAGCCAAAAATTATTGATGCCCTGCCTTCAACAATATACAAACAAGGAGTAGTGGACAACTGGAAAGAGCACAGCTGATGTGCAGTTCCAATGAAAGTACTCTATGCAGTATAAGAAGCAGTAATAGCTCAAATCTAGGAGGGACTTAATATTATAGTTCTTGGGGTTGCTTTTTAATCACTTTCACATTACTGTTTCTATAAAAGCACACACTTTTACTGCACATTTATGAGTTCCATCATTACACCTTTTTTCCTCTTTCCATCTTTTCTTGATAGCAGGAGTATGTGTAGATGAAAACCCCAGATTTCACATAGCACAGCAGAAAAGATTTTTTTTATTTTTTTTTAATATATTTTTCTACTTTTTTGTTTGTTTGTTGGGTTTTTGTCTTCTATAGCACACATCAGAGGACAAAGGGGCCATAACCTATCTGCAAATTGAAACAGCAGCAGCAAGGTCTAAAACAGAGATTTTGAAAAAGCCCAGAGGTATCTGGATGTCACACCTTAACAGCAACTCTAAAACATTTGTGCCATACTGGACCTGAAATCAGCGTCTTGAGTCTGGGTATGTGGGGGAGTCCACATTATTTCTGAACACAGATTTCATCCTTCTGTATATTTTCTTGGCTTTATTCCGTTCTGGTTACTTTATCAGTCAAGTGTGATGTATGTATTTTATGTTTACACTTTGGAGGGAAAAAAAAAAGACGTGATGAACCCAATAGGATCCATTACTAAAATCCTGAGAACATTAGTTATCAGTCTTTCCAAGCAGCTTGCAGTTTGGTGGTTTTTTTTTTTTCCTACAGAGTTGCAATTGATTTTCTTTCACTTTCCAAACTACATGAGATAATATTCTATTTTGAAGGCACTGATCATGATACAGCCAAACAGAAGCTGGGACTTCATCCTCCTACATCATCTGCATTAAGACTCAATGGCAAGAGCACTGTAAAATCCAAGCCAAATGTCCTTATATAATTTACTTTCATGCAGTCCTTTCACTTGTCAGGAGACAGTCTGAAAAACACTCTGAATCATAGGCCCCACATACCACCTCTGCTTTAGTGTGCAATATAGCACTGAGAAGGAAATAAAATGACCTCACCTGCTACATTAAACAAACCAGAGATCCACATAACCTATCATCTCCAAACCCAGCCAGTGCTAAAAGCAGGAAATTCCAGCACTTTTTTACCCCCTGGTTTTGTGCACACTGCTCTTGCTAGGGCTATGCCTATTTCCAATTACTCCTGCTCATGATTTTAATAAGGTATATTTAATTGAAATACATTTTTTAGACTGTGTTGTAAATTAACTTTGTGTCTTACAGTAAGCACAATACAATCTGAACATGCCAAGTCGTTGTCAGTCTCTATACCTTTTTCGATCTGAAAGACTGAGTGTTTTCAGTCTTCAAGCATTCAGCATCTATGCACTGAGTCAAAGCTGTAGAAATTAAATATCGAAGCATAGGAGGAAAACTCTCATCTTTACATCAAAGTTCACTGAACAGAAAAGGTCCTCTTTTGCAGCAATGAACGTCAGTGAAGGTCACACAGCTTTCACCTTTATTTAGGTAAGAAAAAGTATTGATGTGTGGAAAAATCCAGTGTGAGTTGCATCAGAAACTAAATGTAGAAAGCTTTAAGAAAACATGTTACATATAGATCTGATAGCTGATGACCATAAGAAGAGGGGTTTTCCATCTCATAAGCTGTACTTTTGCAAGAAATGTCTGCCTGCATTGATCTAAACCAGAATACATGGGATGCACAATCATTGTTTCTGTGTGTGCATTCAGCCTATATTCTCACCCTACTGCTATTTTGTTCCTTGCATAAAATGAGAAATCTTGGATATGACTGTAACATTATGTGAAAGCAGGAGGAAACATAAGGAAGATACAGGCAACTAACCATCAACTTGAATAGTTAGGACAAGTAGCTGTTATTACTTGAGTATTGCCTCTGAGCTTTCCACTGAAGATCAATATGTATGATATATTAATGTAAGGACACAAAGAGTCATAAACCTAACTCTAACATTAATACCTGCGTCCAAACTTTAGATTCTTAAAAACAAAGCAGTACAAACCCTGCAGATCACAAACCTATGTACTAAGTAAAAGTCATCACACAAATTCCGATATTCCCAAGCGCGTAAGAACTGAAATTCTTGAGGAGTACCAGGCTTTTAAGATGGTCCCCCAACAACTGCTCTCAATTCAAAAAAAAAAGGGGAGAATAAGAATTCTTGTGCCTTGCCAGACCCTTGCGTGTAGCCCTGTGTACAGAAAACAATAGTCCAGGGCTCAGCACACGTTACCCCTCAAGCACATTTCATTCTACAGCTTTTCTACCTGCATTTGATCATTGAGTCTTAACAGTTGTAACGAATTCCTAAAAGGAAGTAGGAAATACCATGTTTTTCAACTGCGTGCTAGAACACAGAATGCATACACAGGTATGAAAATATTCCACCTTCTGTGACAATCTTCAGTCTTGCTGAACAAATTTAACCTTCTTGCAGATTCAGTTAATGAAAAGCCAAAGCAGCATTCCTACATTTGCAATCAATAGCCAAGATAAACACAAATGTAGAGATTAAAAGCCATATTATAGCTTTCCTCCATCTTTATTTCCCCCAAAACTCTCATATAATCCCTATTGAGCAAACCATACGTACAAAAATTTATAAAATGACAGAGTTTTCCTTATATTATTTAGCCTCTAACAAGGCTAGTTAATAAAAATCTATAATGGTGTAAGCCAATTAGTTAGCCCTTGACTGTTCTCCAGCAAACTTGGCTTTTTCTCTTCTACTAGTCTTCACTTTTCCCATGAGTAATAAAAGGAAAACTTTCAATCTTATAACTTCATTTAGAGGATAGGATTCATACAAACCAGCTCTCCCTTAGCAAACTGCACAGCCCCAAGTATACAGTCCACAAGGTGGTGGTCAGGATGAATGAGGTGATATACAACAATAAAGATTTATCAGAACAGATTTAGACTTACTTCATATTCCTAGGCTAATACTAATCCCTTTGTTTTGCTTCACTACTTTAACATGATATACCATAAATTTAATTAGGTGAATGATCCCTGAACCAACATATTTATATTCCAAAAAGCCTAAAGAAACAAGTCAAAGTTACTTGATAAGAGATTTCTTAGTATAACTACTCACAAGAAGTCACACAACAGAGTGCTCTCAAGTGACATATTATGCCAACCAGTTTCTTCAAAATGAGTTTTTAGCATGGAATAATGGCCCTAACTGAGTGATAACACTCAAATGTAAAAGTCATGAGCCTTATAAACCCATGAAACTATTGGATACTTCATTAGTTTAAAATACAAACTCTAAATTTGATTTTGTATTAAACCAGTTCTACTGAAAAAAAAATAAAAATAAATCTTCACATTTTTTAATTACTGCCTTAAGATTGCCTAAGAATGAGGTAGGCGAAACTTTAAGCATTCACCATGGATGAAGTCTCAAGTATACTTTTTTCATTCTTGCTCTCTCCAGATGCACTAAAACCAGCAAACTGAACCCATTTATGCTGTGTAAAATCAGGATAACAATCATGTTTAAGAGTCAATTATATCTCTCCATCAGTCTTTCTGACCAGATATTTCAGAAAGACAGAACAGCAAAGAGTGGACATGCAACATTATCACTTAGTGGCATGTGGGTACTTCATTAATAGCTACAGCAAACGAGGACTTTAACACTGCATTAACTTGTATAACAGACTGCCAGTATACTTACAAGCGTGTAAGCCATTAACATGAAAAAGCTTATCTTCTGCAACAGAAAGACTGACAGGAAACAAAACTTCAGCTGTCAGTACTTGAAAGCAGTACATCCTAAAACATTTCTATATTGAACTTCTTTGAAATTTAAGGCAACTTTCTCCCTTTAGGAAAGCTAAAAAAGGAGCAAAATAACGAAACTACTTTAAAATACCAGTTAAAAATGGTGCAGTATGGCTAAACAGATAGAATGTTGCTTAAAAGACAAGTTTTAATCACTCTGATGGGCAAATCAAAACACACAAAATAATAGCACTTTTAAACCAGGAATGTGAAACTGTACCTTTCAGTAACTACAAGTCATGTCAAAACAAGAAGTAAAACTGAAAAACCCAGTTTAAATCTGTATGATACTGAAGCTGCAGCAGCAATGTTTAAGGAACAATACAAGAATTAACGAAATCTCTTCAAACGGATCACAAGCAGGCAGTCTGCAAAAGAATTTGCAAGCCCAAGAAATGAACAAGTATGAAAGGACTCTTTGAGCATCTGACAGCTGCATTACAAAAGTCAAATGAATGATTTGTCTGTGATAGAGATTATTTTCCCAAAGTTTTTAAAAACCAGGGATGAATGAACAAGGGCCTGTCTGGAACGTTTTAGAACAAATTTGTGAATAAAGACCAAGTCATTAGAATTTAATGGTACTTTTTATCACCAATCGCACAGCATGAGGTTGAATAGCAATGCCTCAAAAACACCCAAACAAGTCTCAGGTGTCAGCACCTAAGCACAGAACATGAGTCAAAGAGCATGATAGATACCATGAAAGAGAAGGGACTCCTACTATACACTGAGACCATTAATTCAGAAAGGAAAGGAAGAAATAAGTTTTCTTAAGTGAAAAGATTTAAAAGTTCTGGTTTTAGCATATACTGATGTGAAAAAAAAGAAACCCAACAGAATACTCAAAACTTAACCACGGCTGCAGACTCCAAAAGGTCTTTGATTCTGACAAGATCCTCATGGACAGAGCCGCAGATGGATTTTAACACTATTTATTGCCTGGCTAATGAGTCTGGAAAGGAAAACTCCAACTGTAATTCCAAGATAGCTTCCACTCCCTTCAGAAAGCTCTGGAAGTGTAGACAGCTCACTGAAAATATTATCCTAAGCTACCAAATGTAAACAAGCTTACTAGTTAATGAAAACAGGACAGAACATTTAGAAGCCTATCTATGTCGAATACTATCAATTAGTACAGAACATGAAAGAAGCAAGATTTAAAAAACCTGGACAGGGCAGCATGAATCAGATATGAAACCATTCTCACATAAGGCAAGACTGAATAGACTAAAGCTTATTCCTTGAGCGTGACTGCAGAGGACAAATGTCTACAAAATGACTGACAAGGCTTGCAGGAAAATGATTCATTCTGTCTCATAACAGGAACCAGACAGTTGTCAGACAGGTTTAATATAAAGTACTTTTGTACACCCTTCAAATTCAGTTTCATCTTTTATTAAAACACAAGTCCAGAGGACAAGACTTACGTAAGCCTAGTGGGCTACAAATACAAGACCACAAAAGACACCACTTTATATTTAAGCAGAGACAACAACCAGAAGACTTCCTAGCCAGACTGGGGTTGAATCTAACAGAGCATATGTAAGAATTTGGCCCTAAAACCACTCGCTTCCCTGTGTAGGCAGTGGGGAGTGCCAGCAAGCTACTATCTTACGTCCTTGTTTCTGCTTTCTAAGGCTAGTAACAGGATGCACATAAAGCACTTCAATTTCTACCACTGGGGAAAAGGTTTTTAGCATTTGCTTAAACATAAGCAACTGAAAAACACATACAAGCTTTCCTTCACACAATATTGATCTTTCTCTCAGAAGATCTATGCAGTCATTTTTTACATGGAATATTGCAAAATTTTCTTTTGTTTATTTGAAATAGGTGATGCGATGCTTGCTAAGGATAACTGTTCTTCTAAAGTTTGAGACAATCTTTTCACTAAGTTGGAGAATATGTAAATGCAGCCTAATGAAATAACTTAGAAGTTGCCCAGTTATCTCAGCGTTTTTACATTCTGAAATACTTCAGAAAACCATGACCAGACATTCAGAATAGAAGATGAATATTAAGGAGTGCATTTTCAATGGATTTGTAAATTAAAGGTTAAACTTATCAAGTTTGCATGTAAGAAAATGTTTCTGCATGAAAACACAAAGCATTTAGATACAGGAAGTACCCAAAAAGAAATCTTCAGAACACACAAGCTTCTGGTAGCATTCTCATATATTTTATTTCAATTAATCCACACAGACGTTAAGTTACATGAGTTTTTGGTAAGAAACCTATTTCAACAAACGGTGAGGTTCCTGTTTAAACATGATCGTTGAAGGGACATAGTTTTAGCAACTGCTTGTCTCAATTCCATGTTCAAGACAATACATCGCAGGTGACAACTGGAGCCGTCTAGTATGAGTTCAGAAACTGGCCACTCATTGAAACCATAAGATGTCTAATATCAGTTCAAGTCCCTTGCACATGCTGGTTTCCTCCCTGTAAAAGACACTTTATTTGCAGTCAGCATCCTGCATACACAAGAGGTAACTGGCCTAAGGTTGAGCTTTTGGTGGGTTTTTTGTTTGTTTTGTTTTCAGGTAAGGAATAAATTTAACTTCAGATAGAGAAGGCAAACCATCCACTAGCATCTGATAATCCCTTTTACACTACCTACCTGGAGATCAACCAATTTTCAAGGACCTGTTTTCACTGAAGACATTTATCACATATGTCCATAAAGCACCAGACTTGAGAAACCTGAAAAAGTAAGCAAGATTTACATGAAACTGGTACAAAGGCTTGGATAGCATAATAATCGGATGACAGATCAAAGTCTACCTATAAGCTCTTTATGAAGCTGATTTACTAGCTTCCTGAAGGGAGTATCATGATTGTGTTACTCTCAGCATGATCCAGAGAAAAGTTTCAACCTCATCTCTGGGTTTGAGAGAGAACTTTTATACCCCTCTGTGTTGGCCACTTAAGACACTGCCAGACTTAAGAGGGCAAAGCATAAAAGGGGAGTAGATTAGAGCATGATCTTTTAAAATTATTATTAACTAAGACGATCTGAACTTGCAGTTTACTCAAAAGAGGTATTAAAAATTGCTTGAGATTTGTGAATTGTCAGAAAGCAATTTTTAAAAGTATTTGCAATTGTCATTAGACAGGAGCACACTTACTTTCTAGCAGAAGGTATATGTTCCTAAGAAGTCCTGAGCATTGCTTCCAGTTTGGGTTTGATCATCCACATTTAGAACATTTCAAACATGAAATTGCTAAGTGGGGCCTCTAAACAAACAAACAAAAAAAAGGACAAACTTTAAAATCATAATATACTTTATATTGTCCTATTACAGACCTTTTTAAAGCCCCTATTATACAGAGTTGCTATTATGTTGAATTAACTGTTCTCAAGGTCATACTCTACAAAGTTCATTTTCAAATCTCAGGCTAGTGCAAAAAGTAGCCAATGGTTCAATCTACTGAAGATTGTTTTAATAAGTCTTTTAACACCTTTAAAAATATACTACTAATCATAAACAATGGGGTTTTTTTTAGTCTAAATTGCTTTTAGTGTTGACACCATCCTTAAGCAAGCTGTAGATTTTCTAGATTTAACAGACTGATCTTTACCAGGCAATTTATTGTCGCATTTTTCCTACTTACATATACCTTGCAGCAAATGATACACTCAACCAAATGATACACTCAATCAAAGGATACGCTCAACCAAAAGGTATACCAAGTTACTGCTGCACACGTACTAGAAGTCTGGGCCAAAAGCCTATGCAAGCAGTGACTTTTCCTTGTTTTAGAAGTTATCAAGTCCATTTGACCTTAAGTGCCTACAGCATTTGGAACCCTGAACACTGCAGGTTAAGACTACTTTTCCTGATGCAGCTTATAAAAAAAAAAAACAATTTATAAGAAAGTAAAAGGTATAAGTATAGATAAATACTTCACCTCACAGTAATGCAGACCAGCACTCTCGGGCAAGCTTGTCTACAAGTGGTAGGAAGTCTCAGATTCATAACCCCCTGTCTCTGACATCCCAAACCTCACCTAATCAGCCCCAGACTCAGAGATGTGGTCAACTCGATGTGCCCCCTTACCTACGGACGGTCAAAGGCACGACTCCAGCTCCCCAGCGGTCCCCGCTGGCAAGGCCTACTACCCCGTGCCTGCTGCTCACGCCGGGCGCGGCCGCCCAGCGGACAAAGCCTTCGGGGCCATCTGACGGCCTTGCCGGTGCCATGGGACGCTTCCCGCTGCCTTCGTCCCTCCACACTGCGGGGGGTAGAGAGAGAGAAGTCAGCCCTGAGAGCGAGGGGCCTCGGGGAAGGGAGGGAGCGGGACCGCTTGTGCCTCACGACAGGATGCAGGGCGGAGGGGAAGGCTCCGCACTGGGTTTTTGTGAGGGAAAGGTGCTCTATCCCCCTGTGTTGACTCCCCGAAGCACCGCCAGGCTCCGAGAGGGCAAGATGTGAAGGGAAGAGCCCGGCAAGGACCACCCCTGCCCCCGCCCGTCAGGATCCCGGCACTCCGGCAGCCGCCTTACCGCAGCGACGGGAGACAACGGAAAGGGGGGAGAGGCGCTTCCCGGGCCTTAAATAGGGTCCCGCCGTTCCCGCGAGACCTGCTGGGGAGGGCGCCGCTGCCTATTGGTGGAGCTGGAGCACGTGGTGTTTCGCGAGTAGGGAGGGTGTGGTGTGTGGAGCTGCGCGTGGACCTTATGGCAGTTGGCCCGGGTACCGGTGCTCCGAGCCGCCCCTGGGGTGAGGGGGTGCTGTGCTGTGCTGTAAGGAGACGGTTCGTACCCCTGGACCGCTGCTGTCGGAGGTGGGGAAGCGGCCTCGTGCTTCAGTGAGGAGCTAGCCGGTGGCGCAGTCGCTCCCTTTGCGGCGGTCAGTCAGGGGCGGACCCGCGGCCTGAGTCAGGACAAGGCGCTAATCTTCGCTGGGACATAATTGTCGCTCTCTGCCCAGGCCAGACTCCAGGGACCAGGAGGTCTTTAACACAGAGAAACAAAACCGTCTTCGGTGTGAATCAGCAGCTGTGTAGCGGTTTTGAGGAGTTAAATACTTCTGATCTCTGTCTAAGCTCCTAATTGAGCCCTGCTTTAGGAGGTTTAGGATCTGTGTGCAGGGATACTGAAGTAAGCCTCAGTGCTAATACCCTTGCTGACGATATAGCACATGCAGCTTGCTCTAGAACACGCCTGCCATTCACAGGTGGAACCAGGCCCGTTGTCCTGCAAGTTATTGCACAATATGGGTACAAAACAGCTAGTGTGCTACCTCAGCTGAGATATGCTGCCTGTCTGGAGATAATACTATGAGGTTTTAGGGTGAGTACAGGCAGATTAACATAGACTGGGAATTAGTAATTTGTAGCACAGAGACTTTGAATGTTGCCCAGCAAAGCTGGTAGGAGCCACAAGATCTACATTCCTGTGCAGTTCGGAATTCAATAAAAATCCCTGCTTCACAGAGAGGCGGATGCTGGTAATTCGTAGCTTCTTGGCTCTGTGAGAATCGGTATTGGCTCACACTGAGTTGCTACCAACAAAGTAACACCTTTAAGTTGTGTAACAGGTTCGCCCACTACCTCTGAGGTTTTCTGAACCCTGTGTTTACCTTACCCTCAGCAGATATAAACTAATCTGGTTCAGCCTGCAACAGTTACATAGTTAGAAACAAGTGATAGGTCTAGAGACTGTTTCTTAAGTGCTTCTAGTTACCTCTTCTAATTCTCGATTCTTAAAACATTGTTGCAATCGTAACCCCTGTTCCAGTAAGTTTATTGTGACTACATCAAGGTTCAAAAGCTGTGCTGAGGCTCTAGGTAAGTCACTCAATGGATACGAACTTCACGTTATTTCCAGTGGGGTTCTCTGCAATGATAATTTTCTACATTTAGACACATAAGTCAGATCAGTCCTGTCTTGTAATGTAGCCAAAAAGACTAATTGGAGTCCAACCTTTACATTTTTACTATGTGTTCTGGGGGGAAGTATGTCATGCCCAGTTTCTTCTTTTTCCAGTGCAGAGTGTAAACAGGCACCTCTGTTAGCACAGCAAGCCAGTGATCAGTATCCATCCTAGATGAGAATTTTAATCATTCAGATAAAATCCTACTCCTTTTTCTTCCCCTGCACAAGCTTTCTTCTGTCTTCCCCATACAGGCTTTGCATTGTTTGCCTTCGCTCTGGCTCCATGAAGCTTACTTTCTTGTCTGATAGTGGCAAAACTTCAAGAAGGGGAATGCAGAGGCCACCTGACCTGTCTGTCCCTTTCCAAACCTACCCTGTAGAATAAATCACTGTCCTAGCAAGGGTCAGATGTGAATTTGATCCTCTGTACACGCAGGTAGGGTTCTTCTGTTCCCTGGGCAAGTGCTGAGTTGTGCATTGGGTTACTACCTACAAGGCTGCAGGCAGATCTGCTGTTTCTGTGTTTTGGAGAGAAAGGGCTGCCTCTAATTTTAACCTGTACAAACTTCTCTGAGTTGGCTCTGAGTCTGCCCCCAACTCTGTGTATCTTGGGGACTTGTGGGAAAACCCACATTTACTGTGGGGTCCAAGCACCGCTTAGTTTTGAGATGGATCCAGGATGTTAACCAGGAGAGATGCAGGTCTGGTTGTGAGCAGAATTTACAGGAACTTCAGTTATCATGGGAACTTGAATAGTAAACATGAGAATATGGAAAGGGAGAGGCAGCATGGGAAGTTTTTACAAGAGCTACACTTAATCAGATACTTGAGGTGGTACCTTTGTTCCACACTGGTCACCTCATGATGAAGAAACCTTTGCTTCTTTTCAGTGTGCAAAGTTAGCAGGTTCTACACATGCCCAGGAAAAACTCAGTCACCTGGTCAACCATGCCAGTAGATGATGTTGGGTCTGTTTACGTTAGGGCATTCCTGGTTTAGACAGTCATGGAGAAGAATTTGGAGAAGCATTTTGAGATCAGCTATGTGGCAGCTGGGTGCCTTAGTTATTTTGTGAATTTAGTGTTGAGCTTTTTAAGGAGTCTGTGGTGACCTGAACATAGTTGTTCAAATCTTGAAGAATGGTGCTCTGATCAACCAAGTCTGTCTTTGTGGGATGCATGAATTGAATCTCAAAGTCTCTTGTAGCTGACATTTGTTTAAAAGCATCATGTTGGGTTCACCACGATGTACAACTGTCATTACAGTTTCACTTAAATTTCACTGTCTTTCTCCACACCTGATATGAAGGAAAACCAAGCAAGTAAAATGTTGATGTGACCGTCAGCCTCTGCAGTTGGACACTATCTGTCTGCATTAAATAATTGGCAGGTTTGGGACCTTACAATGTGGCAGCCTTTTTTACAATATAGCAGCCTTTTTTGTTGTTGTTGTTGCTTGTTTGTTTGTTTTAAACTTGATTAGAACTTTGAGATGGCAATGTGATAATGTAATAAAAATGTAATTGGATTAATTTACACTACAATTTGCATAAAATGAAAAGGCTATTTTAAATTCATGCTGAAAATAGACTAAATGCCACTTACAGCCTGTCTGCTGTCAAAATACTCTTTCTATTTTGTCGTCAGAGTGTATGGTAGTTAAAATTAGAGCCTGTGGAATAGAACAAAAATAATAAATAAAACCTTTAAGGAAGAAGAGGAGGGTAAGCCAGAATTGTTATTTCCTTTCCAGAGGCAGAAATACTAGTACATTTCTGTTAGAAACTTAAGTTTTCTGTTATTTGTGCTCAGTGAGTCTCTTCTTACTCGATAAATTACTTACATGGTGAAAAAAATTGGTTACCTCTTTCTAGCCAATGTGTATGATTAGAACTTAAATAGTATCTTTCCAACTGAAAGCACATTTTATATAAGAAAAATGTTAGTAAAGTTTTCTAGTGAACTCCCCTTGCTGAATAAAATACCTGAGAAAGAGGCCACTCTTCAAGTTTGTACCTTACAAAAATTTGGGAATATTTTTGGTTGAGTAGTGAGTGTCAGGGAAGGTAATGCTGTGTAAGCTGCTGAAGCAATACACAGGAGTTCTCTTATTGCCACTGTTCAAAACTTCAAATACTTCTTTTTTTTTGAAACACAATGAAGCAGGAAGAAAAAGCCAGGAATGAGATATTAAGAGATAATCACATACCATTATGGAGCACCAAACTGACTTTAAAAGCCTCAACTGCCTTTACATAGAATAGACTGTTTCATGTTTATCACTGTATAACTATATTACTATGTATTAGCCCTTTCTACCTATTCATTCTTTAAAAAAAAAAAACCCTAACATAAACGTGTTTGCATCTGTTTTATTCTGCAGCCCTTCAGCTTTCAAATCTGATGTCTGCCCCCCCCAAAAAAAACAAAGTTAGATGCTGTAAATGTGTTTTGTTTTCTTCTGTAAAACAGCAATTTCTGAGAATTTGCTGTTGTTAGGGTTCTAAAGATAAAATTTTACTGTATTTTAAATCAAGTGAAGTAATTTCATAGAATCATAGAATAGTTACAGTAATTTGTAAAAATGCTGGGTAGGGGTTGCTTTGAAGCTGACAGTCTTAAAGAATAGTGATTCCAAAGCTGGGTTTTGGTCTTTTAGACTAAGGGGCCCCATATTTGTGGGGAGGCTCCCCACATTTTTTATGGATTGCCATGAATTTTTCAGGGACTGCAACTTGTTCTTCCCATTATAATTTCAGGTGTAAATAGAATGGCTTCCATGGACCTGCTGTCAGCAATGCATTACAGCCTCAGCCTGTGGACTGCAAGTTGGCATCTGACATTCTGCTAAAGCTCCCAATCTGTTCTGCCTTGGGGGCCAAGCGTCATGGAAAATCCTTAGTCCTCATGCTTGTGTCTGCATATTGGCCATTCTTTTAGAGACATACTGGTATTTTTGTAAAGCATAATTTAATGTGACTACAAGAAACAAAAAAAAAGTGTGTAAGATTCTAAACATCCATTGCTGGCACTGAAAGCATTTTGGATATTGAAATTCTTTTTCAATTCTTATTATATATTCTCCCACCTTCTGGAAAACCTGAGTATTGTTTTAACTGCCTTTTCCATTAAAATGTCCCTTTAATTGCCTGGAAATGTATCCTAAAGTTGATTCTGTTCCAAACACTTGTTCAGCAAAACTGATGATTACCTATTTCTGGACCAGAGTTTATTACAAGAGAAACATAAATGAGACCTCTGTGGAATTTTCCAAGATTTTTGGAGAGGAAGTGCAATATCCTCTTTGTGGCACAACATGGAGAGATATTTGAGTCCCAGTTTTGCTACTAACTTTCCTGTGTAACTTTGGACAAGTTGCTAAATTTCTGCTGCCTGTTTTCTTGCTTTGTAAAAGAAGCTAATATTAACTTGCCACCCACAATCTGACAAGTCTGAGAGAATGTTTGCAAAGTACTCTGAGAAGGTCAGGTGGAAAATGTTATGGAAGTCCAAGCCTCTGCTAGCCAAAGAGGATATTTACAATAGCTTCCTATTTTATGTAGTGAAATAAGAATGTTACAGTGTATAACCAGATGAAACCAAGACTGATCTAAAGTTAAATGCAGGAGGCATTTTTTGACCTTTCAACAGAAATTATATAAGCACTGTTAGGTTATAAATAGTCTTTTGTTTTCCTTCTCTTTGTCTAACACTCAAACACAGGGTTAGTTGTTTGTTATGAAGAGATAGGGCAATGTTTTAGAGTGGAAACAATTGTTCACTGTTCTTACTCATACAGTCCCTATACTGTTTATAACTAGCATTTGCTGCTCTTCTTAGCACTTTTTATCTTCAAAATGCTACAGAAACAAACTTTCTAGGCCTGAAAATGACAACATGGAGAGAAAACCAAAACACTCACCAGCCCATTCCAAGTGTCTTTCTTCTTTCCTGGTTTGATACAAGCCTGAAGAGCAAAAAAGCTAGTGCTTAACTGTGGTTCAACTGGCACATAAACACTTATGCATCATTTCTTATTTTTATTATGATTCCTCAGCAATAAGTCATGAAATGTGTCCACTCTTAAATGAAAGTATTTTTATTAGCACTAAGGATAATGATACTGAATTCTTCACAGAATTATGTATGTGTGCATATTTCCAAGTATGCTTATATTCAACATTTGTCGTTTCCTTGAACAGACAATAAATGGTTAACTAATAGCAATTTATGTTTTTAAAAAAGGAAGTTTAACAAACAGAACCTCCCCTGAAGCTTTATCCTGAAGTGAAGTAATTGGTATCAATAAGAAAGCAAAGGTATGAAAGTACCACTTACCTGTTCCTTAATTTTTCATTTAACTACTTTGTGTGATTTCTCTGAAGTTCATATGAATGATGTGCTTGACATTAAAATATATGTGAGGTAAATGGCTTTATTAGTTACCACACTTTGTTTCATTTGTTTTTTTAATCACCTTTCAAGCCCTTTCATTTGCTTCATAACTTTTCACTGACAGCAAGTATGATTCTCTACAGTGAATTGGAATAAATGAGCTGCAGGAAAGACTACACCATTAGGCTTCCGGAATAAAAGGAATCTGAGTTTAAAACCCAGCTGTAGTGCAGTACGCTGCAGGCTGCTTAGAAATGTACCAGAGACCAATCGGCCTTGATTGCTTCAGAACTGATGCTGGGGGTGGCCAGTTCAGAAATGACACCTCAGCTTAACTCCCATTTCCCTCAGCTACGTACATAGAGAAAACCTATGATGTTATGTATCATCCAGTCCTCAGAATTTAAGCAAATTAAACACTTAGGATCGAATTCACACATAATGCAGGACCATGAACTTAACAGAATTATGCCAAAGATATTTTTTTTCTCAGTGTTACATCTGATGCCCCTTTTACATAATGATTTATGCATTTAGGTAGCAGTTTAGCAGCCCTGACACCTTCAATTCATAATGTCCAAAAAATTTTTCTGCGTCCTGTATTTCAAATATTTGCAATGATTTAATATAACTAATCCAACTTACTGAGGAAAGAAATTCTGTTTCTGTGACAACTCCATGTTGAGTTTCATTGCTGAAACTGTCAATAGAAGGATGTCAACTAATGTCAAATTTGATATGTTTTTATGAAGTGGGTACTTCTCTGCAATGAGCTGGAATGAGGCCACTTACCTAACAGCATTCTTAGGGTAGGAATTTATCTTTGGATGCTACTGCCTATGTCAGATTTCTATTAGTAATCATAGACCTTCTCTTGAAATTAATTAATTAATTAAATAAATAAATAAAATAAATACTGGCTTCAGAATGTTTGCTGTAAATAAAGACTGTGGGGCCAGGCTGTATAGGCTGAAACTATTGTATTCTAGCATCATGAAGCAAAAAGTGTAGCCAAGCACTGCCATGCTCCCAGGTGCTGTGAGGAGCAGGGGTGCCTGTAGAAATGTTAGCAGTTCTCTCTTCCTCTGAATGGTTTCCTTAGCATTGCAGAGGAACAAAAAATGGGCCTTCTGCTTCTGCTGAGAGCAGCAACATCTGCTAAGGAAATGGGAAATTCAAAGATGAATCATTGCCTTAGCTGAACTTCATTCTTTCTTCCCTCAGCGATTTGCTGTGTGGCCTCAAGTTAGCTATTTAACAACCTTGTGCCTATTATCACGTCTGTAGATTTAACACACTCCTACTGCTTTGCCCTGGAGAAAGGCATGGGCCTTGACTTATTTGTTCTTGAAGAGGAACTGAGATTATCACATTAACGGTGTTGTATGAACGCACTTTGGCGCTAAGGTGTGTGGTGTGGACATGGTCCCAAGCCAGTATTTGTGAAGACAAGTGCTGTCTGCATGAATGGCAATACAAAACACCTTCTGTTGGCGTAAGTGCCATTCCAACCTACTGCTCCGGGTCTGCAGTGCCTGGGTTCCTATGTACCCCAGATTAGGCGGAGAGATCGCGTCCTAGATTACAGTGCTGCTGGCATTGCCACACATCCGTGTGGTCCTGCTTGGGCTCTGCCTTCCCGTCCCTCACCTTCCCCCGCCCGTTTGACTTCACGTGCACCGAACCCGAGTTTCGCAGCCCTGTGGCTGTTCCCGACCCAGCGACTGAAGCACCCCGCTCCCCGGAGCGCCCGTCCCCCGCTCCGCGCCCCTTCCTCCCCGCCGCGCATTGGCTGCGGCGGCAGCGCCCCGCCGGGGTGCTCGGTGCCGGGCACTGCCGCTGACCTTCCCTGGCCGGCGCTGTCAGAGCGGATCAGCGGGCGCGGCGCTGCAATGGAGCGGCGAGCGGCAGCCGCCGGGAGAGGAGGAGGAGGAGGAAGGGAGAGATTAGTGCGGTACCGGCTGGCGCAGAGGCGCGGCTGAGCTCTCCAGCGGGAGCCCGGGGCCCTGCGGACCGTGCGAGAGCCAGAGGCGGAAGGAGCAGAGATGCGGCTGCTCCCGCCGCTGTGCTGAATCTCCCCGTCACTCTCCCGGAGGAGGGAGGAAGGGAAGCTTCGTCCTCCTCGCGCTCTGCGGGTGCAAAGAGTGCCTGTGCTGTCCCCTCCTCTTGCTTTTATCCCAGCCCCGGAGCAGAAGGCGCCGCCGCCCCCTCTGCCTTCCTGCGCTTTTCCCACCATGAGCGGGGCTGTTTTCACCTTATAAAGATGGCGGTGCGGGATCGCTGCAACCTTTAGACTAATGACCGTCAGAAACATCGCCTCCATCTGTAATATGGTGAGTGCTGGCGGGCCGGGGGGTGGGGGCCGCACGCAGCCCCTCCGCGGCAGGCCCGACCGGGGCCGGCGGGGGTGGGCTCCCCCCAGGGGCGCCAGGCGAAGGAAGCGACCGCATCCCTGCCCCCGGCGGCGGGGGAGCCGGGCAGGCTGCGCAGGGACGTGCCTGGGATCGAGTTGGCCACGTCCCGAGGAGTTTTCTCGGGGCAGCTCGGGAATGGGCCGGGGAGGGACGGGAGATGCTGAGCCGGTGCGGGGCCCTCCGGAGCAGGGCTGGCCCCAGCCGATGCTCGTTGCAGACGGAGCCACAGCCCGCCGTTCCTCTTCCTGCCCTTCCTCCTGCCCTAGTAATGCTGCGAAAGAACCCCAGAACTGGGCTTTGAATTCGCATTACACCAGTGACCCCATTTAACAATCTCAGGCAGGCACGCTGTGGTCTCATGGAGCCAGGAGCTTCCCAGGTTACACAGAAACCGAGGATGTTTAGATGTCTGATTACACGCTTTAGGATTCTGATGCTAGGTACCTGTTCTAGGGAGTCTTGGCTTTAGATCTAACAGGATTTAGCTCACACTGCATGCCACTCAGAGAGGACTACTGTTTGTTAAGCGCTTTTGAATCACTTAACTTTATCTAAATCAGACTAGGCAACAAGGAAGAAATAAATAAAGTTTATTATTTTGTTTGTTATCTTCAGATTTTGCCACTTTCCTTCCCAGGAACACTTGAAAGGACACTTTCTGCATTGTTCTTGGGTGTAAATTTAACCCTAGCAAACTGGGAGCATCTGATTGGGTTTAGATTTTGGAAACCTATTGGTGGGGAAAGGGAAAACTCAAACTTTGTCTGTCAAAGGTTTATTAATACAGTGAGGCAGTAATAAACTTGCCAAAGAAATAGGTGTGTGTTAAGCACCCCAATGCAACCAGAAGAGAAACCTATTTCTGCACATTTTGTTGTTTTAGTCTGTATTTTTGCCCCTTATTTCCAGGTTCTTCAAGAGCAGCTACACGCAGTTGCCAGCTTCCCTCCATGTGGCGCCCCAGCATGCCTTGTGCTTGTGATGCCACACGCACCATTCATGGGCTATGGAGAATGGAGCTTACTTCTAGGCTAAGGCAGCAGGCACAGCCCCAGAGGCCTGGCTCCTGCAGGGTCAGCAGCAGTGATCTGCAGGATGGAGTGCAGACTGCTGCCTGCTCCCCTTCCACATATCCATGATTCCACTTGTCCATACTTCCACTTAAGCAGGCTTGCACTTTTTTCCCAACCAGATGGCTGGGGCATCCCATAAATAGTTTTGACTTAAGTCTCAGTCCTCCCTTTGAAGTGCCTGCTCTGAAATGCAGAGATGGAGGGTTGGATTTGGCGTTAAGACAACTTACTATGAAATCTAGACTTGGGATAAAATAATCTGCGTGCTCACCTTTCTTCACCAACAATAAGGAGTTTTCTAAACTTTTCGTTATTCTTAATAATTCCCAGCCCTGCAGACCAGTGGGCCAGGGATACTGCACATAAAGGTTTAAGGAACAGTACAGGACTGAATAGAAGACCTGGGCGAGCTCACCTTCCTTCTGAGGCAGGCTCCAGATTTTATTGCTGATGAATGGTAGGTGTACTGCACAAGAGACCACTACATGAAGGGAAGCTGGAGCCTCTTAGGTGGCTGTAAGACTTCAGTATTGGCATAAAGTACTAGGAACTCCATGATTTTTCTCATGCACTTCAGACAGGTGTACTTGTATTCAGTATACTTCTCCCAAAGACTGAACAGATTCACAGCAAAACTGATGAGGTTGTTCTAATGGTGTGCTGCTCAGCTGTTGTTGCTAGTATATCCTGCAACAGTACCATCTGAGACTGAAGGGAAGAATTAGAGCCTCAGGCAGAAAAGGCATACAAGAGCTCATAATTCAAAGCAGGTCTAGCGCATGGTACCAGTACTGCAACAGAAGGTGAAGTTGGTTTAACAGTAATGATGTTTTAAAGCTACATATTCCTTGGGGTATGTGTACTTAGCTTTTAGAGATGTTGTGTTGTACTGGTCACTTTTAGACTTTTCTGGATAATCCACAGGGACTTGGGAGTTCTAGGGGAAAAAAAAGGAAAGTCAGAAAGCTACAGGAATTTGGGGCTATAAGGGAAACATAAGTTCTTGGAAGTATTGGCAGCACTGCCTCATCGCTCCTCCACAAATGAGTCTGCTTAGATAAGGTGGTGCACTTGGACTCACTTGTCTGGAGGAGGAGCTATGACAACCATATATAAGAAAGGGACCATATATAAGAATGGGACTTTGGAAGGTTAGAGGTATATAAGAAAATCCATTACCTGTATAGAATCTGAATATTTGCAGCACTGGTTTGATTTTGGGCATGTATAAATCTACCAAAGACATTAATTCCTAGACCTTGTTCCTGCACTACTTTCAATCTGTGGACTAAGAAATGGGCATAATTCTTAGGTAATACAGTATATTTTGATAAATAATGCTGCATGATGGTATGTTTCTAAGTTTTTTAAGCTGGTAGAACATAGCAATATTGTTCCTTATATTTTTTTCCATTCCAGTTCCACTTGGGAGTGTCCAAAGCTGTTTTTTGTGTTCAGTTTATTTGCCTGTTTAGTGGTTTGGATTTTTTTTTTACTTCTGCAAAAAGAAAATGTTGCTTGCTTGATTTTCTTGGAGGGAGGAGGGAGAGACAGAGGGAGGAATTGGTCCTGAAGTACTTGTCCTGCTCTGAATGCAACAGAGATTATGTTTTCAGTGGTAGTCCTTTCTTGACGAAGTTTTTGTTTGTCCAAGTCCTTGTTTGTCCAACTACTTTCATGTCCTGAAGGGGAAGAATAGATGAAATTTAGCTGAATGAGTTTAGCTTAAGGAAGCCTGGCTAGTCATCATTTTAGGATGTGTGTTTGCTATTTAATTGACTGCTTGAGATCTAGCATCTCGGGTTGTAATTTTGGCTTCATGAAGATGGTAGAGGTTCAGTCTTCTCCAAGATCAAAACAACTGAACCAAGGAAGCCAGCAACAGCATTTAACTTGCTTGCAAAAGAGATCTAGTACTATGTATTCACTGTGTAAGCTCTTACATGCTCAGGCAGACACAGTGGGAGCTAATCAGTAAGAAAGAATGTTAGGTGCAAACTTTCCACTTGGGACATTTATTTATAGTTAATATTCAAATGCACAACTTTCTAGAATTAAAGAAAATTCCTCTACTGCCTTTTGCCAGATCCCCCCTCCCCCCAGTTATAATAGCAACAGGACTAGTTATTATGCCCTGATTTGTTTAATGAGACCAGAGAGCTGAAACTTGTTCTGCTGGGGTGGAGGCGATGAAGGCAACTGTGACCAAAGGAATCTGAGGGACTCTTGTGTGGGCACAGTGGCCAACCTCTCTGAAAAGGGAGGTCTAGTCCCCGGGGTTCCTCTTACTTGCCTTTCAGATACTCTGAGAGTTTATCCAGTCTGTCTGCACATCACGTTCACCACAGAAGGAGGCACAAAATAGGCAATCATCAGCTTTTATGTAGAACAGGTATGGTAGATGTGAAGAAGCGTAAGATACACAGAAGAAACCCTGTTTGAGGGAATACCAACACCCAGTGCCATGTAGCCCTCGGGTAGACGCAAACTATTTTGGCCCCTATGATGCTATAATCTTCTTTGGTATTGTTTCTGTGAGATAACCTGATGGGTCAAGTGCAAAATTCTGGTTCAAAGGTAGATAGGCATGCTGGCATTTTAAGATTGCTGCTTACTGAAATACTTTGCAGCACATTTCTCTGTTGATAAGCTTTTGGTACAGCCTGAAGTTCTGAGTTAAATTCATGCTGCAGCTGTGGTCTAGGGATATTACTGTTATGTACAGTGAAGGACATCTAACCATTTCAGAATGTATTGACATATGTATTTACAGAGATGGCTAACAAGCTCTGCAGGCCGTATTTCTCTTAAATACCTTTTAATGTTCTGCTGAGAACAAGTATTAACCCCCCTTTTCATAATTTTGTAATAGTATTTCAAATAATCTGATCAGCACTTCAGAGTGTTCCGGCAATTTAATAAATGGAACATTCCGAACGCATTCAGGTCACTTCTGATAAAAAGCATCATCTGAGATACCTCACAGCTGCCAACACATCCGAAGTAGTTGTCATGCAGTAGTTGCATAGAAGATACGCAAAACAGGACAATTGATGAATACAGTGTGTGGTTTACAGTGTGTTTCTTTTAAATGCTTACTGTCTTTGGCTTCAAGTTGCTGAATTAATAGTGGGTTTGCTAAATACCTTAATAAAGGAACTTCTTAATCATAGCTCAGAAAGGCTGAGTCTGAATTGTGGAGAAGATGGGATTAAAAGAAAACTCTGGAACCTGATTAACTGTGTGGTGGGCAAGTGCCAGACAGGAGCTGAGATTCTGATAGGCTTGAAGAACCACAGTCTGTGGCATTAAATCATGGCCAGTCAGAGAAGCAGGCATCAAAGTCTCTTCTCCTGATCTTCCTTTAGCCTCAAAACACTGTCCATGGCTGGCTGTTTGGTAGATACACTCATATATATTTATGTATGTTATATACTCTAAACACCATAGTATATCAGTATTTCTGCTTTCATATCCTCCGTCATGGCTCCATTATAAGCATATTCTTGGGTATGCTCAGCCTTTGCAGAGAACGTTGGTGTATTGTTGGTTTCAAGCTAGATATTATGTTTTGCGGTTATTTGATTTGATTTGATTTCACAGTGAATGACTTAATAAGAGTTGCATTCAAACTGTCCTAGGACAATAAAGTCTCCAACTGTACACTGACACTCCAGTTGATAAACCTGTGTTATTTCTGACGTATCTCTGTCAAAAGCGAAGATTTCCAGGGGTAGTAACTACATCATCTCTCTAGACAGCCTATCCCAATTCTTCAATGTCCTCATGACTAGAATGTTTCCAATGTCTTTCCCAAATATACATCACTGTAATTTGAGCTTAGTA